TAAGAGAAAATAACAGTTTTACTTATTATTGTACGCCATATAATCCTTAATTATTATTTTATTATAAACTTTGTTTTCATATAATGTCATTATTATTTATAAAATTTGTACATCTTCTTTTTCTTTTTATTTTATGTAATTAAAAATATTTAATGCACGTTAGTAAAATGTAAATAAATTTAAAACTAAACAGTGTATAAATATTTTACAAAATATACACACATGTCTTTTAGAATTTAATTTTATATACTAATTAAACAAATTTAATTTAACAAATGCCAAAAACTCAATCCCTTATGTAATCAAGATTTTTGTAATTTGCATTATAAGAATTTATAGTTTATTTAGCACACTCTACAATAAAAATATAATTTACAAGAATTTCATTATATAAAGAAATCAAAATAAACAAAATGAGAAGAAAAATAATCATTGTTGCTAATAATATACATATAAATTCTACAACAGTTAATATATTTAAATTTTAATTTTTGACCATTAAATGTATGTGATCATTATCTCTTAAATGGTAAATCATATTAACTTAAAGAATAATTTATTATATATATATATATATAACGAATTAAAGCTTAAGAAAAGAATTATATTGGTAAAGATTAATTCACCAATTTGATTTCACCTGATTAATTGGATGAAAAAATTCTACCTAACCTTGTTACGTTTTTCTATAAATATTTTTAGATAAAAAGTGAATATTTGTGAAAAAAATAATATTATGGTTAGAATTTAAAATAGATTGTAATATTTATTTTGACCAAAATATTCTCAACATAAATCACGAAAAATCAATCTTGTATAATAAAATTAATAAAATTATTGCAGATATTAATATATTATTTAATAAAATAATATTTTAATCATATTTGATTTGATTTTATTTGAAAACATGTATATGAAAGCAATTAATGTATATATTTAAAAAGTTTCTAAAAAAGTATGCATTAAATGCACCCAAAAATTTTTACTACTATTTTTATTAAATGGTTATTTTATTATATATAACGAATAATTTGAAAAATAATTTATTTTTTATGTATAACAAATTAAAGATTAAGAAAAAAATATATCGGTAAAGATCATTTCACCAACATGATTTCACCTGATTAATTGGAAGAAAAAATTCTTCAAGATTTTCGATAAATATATTTAGATAAAAAGTGAAATATTTGTGAAAAAAAAATTAATATTATGGTTAGAATTTAAAACATGTTGTAATATTTATCTTGACCAAAATATTCTGAATCACAGAAAATCAATCTTATAATTTTTTATAATGAAAATCAAAGAAATTATTACAGATATTAATATATTGTTTAATGAAACAATATTTTTGATCATATATGGTTTGATCTTATTTAAAAACATGTATATGAAAACAATTAATGCATATATGTTAAAAGTTTTAAAAAAAGGTATGCATTAAATGCTCCCAAAAATTTTTACTACAAATTTTAGTAAATAGTAAATAGAATAGTACTTAACCTCGTACGATGCACGAGCTGTATTTATTTTGGTAAAATTTTTAATTAAATTATTAATCAATAAGTTATAATACATAGAGTACTTGTTAGGTAATCGTAAAATGTTCGTCATGAAAAAGTCATACATTATTAAAAACATCGTCATTTTTCCATGCAAAAGTACTTTGCACTTCGCAACCGTAGACCAATATTTACCAAGATTGCTCTCCACTTGGTAATTGCGAACTGCATAGACACCTTCTTACTTTTTTTTTGTTGATTTTCGTTATGTTAGCACCACAAATTAAAATTATAGTGTAAATATGTAATATTGTGATAAATACTAAAGATATGATTTATGTGAAGTTTAATTTTATATAGAATACGAAAAGTTGTTACCTTAAAGTGTGGATTTTGAGTATATCTTTTTTTTTCAATCATTCTCGTTTCTTATTCCAAATTCATTCCAATATTGAGAACAATTTTGTTTTTGTTATGTTTTAACATAGATTTGGATTTTTGATTGTATCTTTTGTAAAACAATATTTACAAAATATTTACGTTAAAGAAAAAATAACAGCGATATTTTATCATTTGTAGCTCAAAACTAACTAAATGAATCCGATAACATTAAATCACTATTTTTAAATGAAAAAAATATTTCATAACTAAATTGATAAAAAAATAATTGAAAATGGTAAAAAAATTGTGATAATATAAATAAAAAGTTGTTTCATGTGTAGTAGAATAGTGAATCGAATATTGTGGCAATTTTTAAAAACATGTTACCATGATTGAAATGAAATATTTACTAAATTTTTTACTTGTAGTTAAGTTGCATATATTGTATAACTATATATGGAAAAAAATAAAAAACTTAAAGTTCAAATATGCGATTTATTTATATGTATACAATAAAGTGTACAGTCTAAATAATTAAATTTTTTTATTTATCATTTATATTATTAATATTGATATATGATTATTGTAAAGTTCTACTCTCATTTTTACGGCAAATTTATGTTATATTAAAATGAATTGAAAAGTATAAAAAGAGATATAGATTGAATTAAAATTTTTGAATTGTGGTTAAATTATTTGATTCCATAATTATACTGATTTTAAAATGATGCTTCATAATATTTGATTCCATAATAACATTGCTTTTAAATAGAATTGATTTCAAACAATCAGATTTAGTGTTTAATCAAATATTATGGGATATTTTTTTAAAACTATAAATCCGATTGTAAAATTGATTGCAATTAATGCTTCGAGGTTTGTTTCAAGGAATTGTGTAAAATTACTATAATTAGGATGTAATTAATGCATAATGGCAAGAAATGCTTATTATACTAGTGCATAGCCCGTGCGATGCACGAGATACATATAATATATCAATCATTTCTATAGGACTTGTACTTTTAGACGGAAAAAAACGATAAGCTTGGATCATCCATATTTCACATCTATTAATAAGTGATGTTTATTTTAGCCAGACAATTAATATATTAATTAATGTATTATTTCGCAAATACGTTATACTAATATAAATTTAATTTTAGATATATATTTTTTCATTGATATAAGAAAAAATAAAAATTTTATTTATTCATGTTCAACATATAATACTCAATTCTTATTTTATTATAAAATTTATAGTCATATAATTTCATTATTATTATTTATAAAATTTATAGAAGTAGTCTTCTTCGTATTAATTTATGTAATGAAATTCAAAATAAAATTTTGTGTATAAATATTTACAGAATACACACACATATTTTTTAGAATTCAATTTTCTCATAATAATTTTTTAAGAAAATTGATTTAGCAATTGCCAAAAAATAAATCTCTTACATAATCAAGAGATTTTTTTCTAATTTTCATCCTAAAGCTTTATAGTTTATTTAACATACTATGCAATAAAAAAATATTTTACAATAAATTCATTTTTGAAACATAACAAAAAAATTTTACAAAAAAATTTTGTTATCTCCGCCGAAACCTAACAAAAAAAAACCCCAAATCTGCTCGTTTCTTCTCGTCTCATCTCCGCCTCCGTTAGCCTTCCTCAGTCGTCGCTGGGCTTAGCCGGCGGTCTCCGGCCCTTGGCCGTTTGGTTCCCGCCCCCAATTTTCCGCTCATCTTCCGCGCTCCATGGAGTCGGGCTTCGCCTCATGCGATGGGTCATTGCTTTTTCCAGCGTCGGCTCATCAATTCCGTGCGGTGGCCTCTCTGTTGGAGGGCGATGGAGCCGTCGCGCTGTTCTCGGGGTGGGACGCGTCTCAATTGCTCGACTTCCTTCTTGGTCAGGTGGTTGGGGCGTCGTTGATGTTCGAGGCCGAGCGTCGAGTAGCAGGGGTCGTCGTGTTTCTTCTTTCGGTCAGTGGTGTTGGCTGGAGAGGCGATGTGACGGTGCGGTGGCCTCGGTCTTATTCCAAGTGGTTCGGGGTTGGGTGTTGCGGTCGCGACACCCTTTTGTCCGTCCAGGGCATTCGGGTGTAGTGGTCGTGGAGTGGAGTGACTTGGTGCTATTTTGGGGTTTGGGTTTCGACACCGTTAGGCCACCGAGTGGTTTGGGCAGTTTCGGGGCTGGTTCTTCAAGCTGCGGGATTCACAGTTGCTTCGTTTCCGCTGGTTCGGTTTAGTGTATCTTCTTTGGAAGGGCTCGTTTTCTTTGGGCTGTTGTTTTGTTTTGTTTGGTAGTTTCATTTTTATGCTCCTTTGTTTTGTTTGTTTGTTTTGTTAGGTCTCGTGTTTTGGTATGGGTTGTTGGCCTCAGTGTTGATTCTCCTGTTGGGAGCTAGAAGATTCTCCTGTTGGGAGCTTCGTAGTTATTTTGGTAGTTTTTGTTGTGTTTTGTGTGTTGAGATTCTAGCGTTGCTAGTGTCGGATTTAGGCGGTCTTCGGACCAGTCCTCCCAGTTTATTTAGCTTTTGGCTGCGGCTCTAAGTTGTAATTTGCACGTTTGTGCGTTTTGATCTATAAAATTTTCTGTCGTTTCGGGAAAAAAAAAGAAACATAACAAAAAAAGTGATAAAAACACTATCATAGTTGACAATAATATACAAATAAATAACATGTCGAAAATTTAAAGAATAACTAATATAATTTTATTATCTAACCATCAATAAAATCATTTAAAGATGTGATCATTATCTTTTAAATGATAAATAATATTAATTTTTTAAAAAAAATATTAGTTTTATATAATTAAATAAAGGTTAAAAAATATTACTCGACAAATATTAATTATAATGGATATCAGTAAAATTATTGCATAAATTATTTAAGAAAAAAATCTTGAAGATTATATCTGGATAGTAAATATAAATATGCAAGCATTTAATGCATATAGTAAAAACATTCCAAATAAGGTTTATATTAAATGTGTGTTGACTTTTCTTGCTACTATTTTTGGTAAATAGGTTGGCTAATACATATATAGATTCGATTTGCATTCTTATTATATTAATAGATATAGATAATGTAAAATAATATTGATATGAAAATATTATTTAATGTAATTTATCAGGAAAAAAAGGTAAAATAACCATTTGTAGTTATAAGAATACAAATGATTAAATAGTAATTTTTTTAATAAATTTGTAGAATGTTAGATTTCTAATTAAACATTGTATTAAAAATTCTTAAACATAAAATAAATAAATAATATATATATATATATATATATATATATATATATATATTTTAATTTGTGGAAGGATATATACCTTTGAGGTGTAAGAGGTCAAACGGGAAGCAGTGGAGATGCACGGCCATGTCCATGCCGTAATTGTATTATTCAATAGATTTTGCCTACATATTAGCAAATTGAGATTGTATCAGTTTATTCCTAAAATTCTGAATGTATCAGTTTATTCCATAGATCAACATCTAACCAAATTTTGAAAAGTGCATAAAATAGGATTGTATCAATTTATTCCTAAAATTATGGATGCTCATTAATTTCTTATCCCAAATTGTCCTAACATTCTGAATTTAGCATGTAATTAATGAAATTGGCGGGAAAGAGTTTTTAAAAGTGAATTATGTTAATCTTTATTATATATTAATAGATATGGATATAAATATAGATTTATTCGAATATAAGTAAATGGGCCCTGTAAAAAAACACACTAGAACAAAGTGTAAGCTAGTCACTCGATAACCCAAACATAAAGATTTCTATATCTACTGGGCTAGAAACAAATGGGCCTACTGACTACTAAACAGGCCCTTTACAGTCTTTAGCATTTTGTTATTAGCGCGTGATGTGGGACCATTAAAATTCAGAGCTATAATTAGTCTCACACCTCTATTATTTTCACCTCTCTCTCTCTCTCTCTCTGTGAATTTTCTTTTTGTCCTTTCTTATTTTTTTTTTTTTCCCTTTTTCTTTTTTATTTCTTTCTTCATAGAGAGATATTATAGGCCCTCTCTCTGGATTTTTCCGTCGCTCTGCAAACCCTAAAACCTGCACATCTCCTCTATCGATCATCTAATTTATAATCGATACACAAAAAAAAATGCAGAATCAGAGATTGAAGCTGCAACAGCATCAGGCTCTGATGCAGCAAGCGATCCTTCAGCAACAGTCGCTTTATCATCCCGGCCTTTTAGCTGCTCCTCAGGTTCAATTTTCGTTTTTTTTTTCCTTTTTTTTTGTTTATGTTTCTTGGTGATGGTGATTATCTGTTCGTTTTAGGTATGCCTTGGATTTTGATTTTAAAGATGCTTGTTTTTTTGGGTCTTCGCTGGGATGATTACAAACTTTCGCGATAATTGGTTGATTGATGGTTTTCGTGTGAATTTTCTCTACTATTATGGATTTGATTTTCTGTATATGTGGTTTGTGGGTATCTGGTGCTGCCATGTTTGAAGGGGGGGAGTCTGGATTTTTTTATATTTTACGTTTCTTCGGCAAAGTAGATTTTGAAGAAAATCTCCTAATATTTAGGTCTAATTTGCCCTGTTTGGGGATTAATAGCTTATTTATTATGATTATCTTATAGAGTGAGAAAAAAAAAAACATATATTTTTTACCTCCTAGTATCCGAGGTGTCTGTTTCAAGTTTTGAGGAATGGAAGTTGCTAGGTGGAGGTGCTCCTTGAGTGAGGGGCATAGTGGAAAATAATTTTAGGGAAGAAGTAATTTTATGTGAGGGAGGTTAGATATATAACTGTAGAATAACCAGAGAAAAATGGATGGTTATTGTTTCAAAAGGATTGGATGATGGATTGTGATGGACCAGCACATGTCAGCAAGAAGTTACTAAGTTAGGTGACATAGGAAGAAAATTAAAGGGTTTTCTATAAATTTATAAAAGATAGGCTTTTTTGTTGAATCTTAGATTGATGTGGGCAGTGATGAATTAAAATTGGTATTGTCTATTTTAGACATGACAATGTAGCTTTTAAGTTTTGAACCTCTACAAGCACTGTTCGATTTATTTATTTATAAGTTTATTTTACTTATTTATCCGATCAGTTCATCGATTCCGTCTTTCTTGTGTTGACTTTTGCATTTTGCAGATTGAGCCAATGGCAAGTGGAAATCTGCCTCCTGGGTTTGATCCAAGTACTTGCCGCAGTGTGTGAGTGCCTTGCAGTCAACTTTTCCTTCCTTTTCTATATTTTGTTTTCTATTGCACTTTTTGAATAGCTTATGGCATATACAAGTCCCACAACATTGATGTTCTTTACAAGTTCGCCTGTCCGTGGATCCAAATTGGCTTCAGATCTTGTTTAATTATTTAGGGACCTAATATTGTCTGTTGTTTTCTTGGTTTTAGTTCTATCTGTAGAAATTCTTATGAATTCATCCATTTTTCCTTCTTTTCCTTTCTTTTCGAATTTTTCTAGGGTTTTTATTTTTTGAGAACTGCAGGTATGTTGGGAATGTTCACATACAGGTGACGGAGCCACTTCTCCAAGAAGTTTTTACTAGTACTGGTCCTGTGGAAAGCTGCAAGCTTGTTAGAAAAGAAAAGGTAAGAACACACTCAAGTATCCTCTTTCTTGTGCACTTTTATGCATTGAGTGGCTCAGATTCTGTCTTGGGATGATGTTTCACATTTTTTTCCTTCTCTCTGTGCAGTCATCTTATGGTTTCGTTCACTACTATGACCGTAGATCTGCTGCACTTGCAATATTGTCCCTCAACGGGAGACATCTGTGAGTTGTAATAATTTAATATTTGGGTTCAAATTCCAGTGATACCAGAACCAGTGTCATGTGTTTGAATTTCAGGTTTGGGCAGCCTATCAAAGTTAACTGGGCTTATACCAGTGGTCAGAGGGAGGACACATCAGGTTGGTGTATATGGTGACATGAGGTTGCTTTTAGCTTTTTTATTTAAAATATTCTGTGTTTTATGAAATCATTTGACCATGTATGCAGGCCACTACAATATATTTGTCGGTGACCTAAGTGCCGAGGTGACAGATGCTATGTTGTTCGCATGCTTTTCTGTTTATCCTAGCTGTTCGTAAGTACCCCCCTGCCACCTCCTGTGATTTTCTCGGTGTTTTATTAGTTATGGAAATTGCTGATCCCAAATTTGATGATGTTAGTGATGCGAGGGTTATGTGGGATCAAAAGACTGGCCGTTCCAGAGGGTTTGGATTTGTCTCTTTCAGGAGCCAACAGGTATGTTCCTCACATCATAAGTTGTGTCTGAATTTTCTTATAATCTACCATTTCCTTAATCCTGATTTTGTTGTTTCTTTCCCTCAGGATGCTCAGAATGCAATTAATGACTTAACTGGTGAGAACAGTTTGGATTATTTTTCATTCCATTTGCTTTTCTAATTATTTGAAGTTCACTGTGTTTTATCTGCTCTGATTACCACGAGTGTAATGTTGCTTTATGTGTCAATGTTGCAGGAAAATGGCTTGGAAGCAGACAGATACGCTGTAACTGGGCCACAAAAGGCGCTGGAAACAGTGATGACCAGCAGAGCTCAGATGCTAAAAGTGTTGTGGAACTAACAAATGGCTCCTCTGGTGAGTAGATTGCGAGGTTAAAAATTTAACTTCAGAAAATATCTTTGACATGAATCATAGTTGACTGAGTGACTAGTTGTGCTTGTTTCTGATACTGATTAGTTGTTTCTGAAAGATAAATTGTCATGTAAAATCCTAAAATAATGTCATAACATATGATTATTACTTATGTACTAATTGAGAAAGTCTGTGCCTGATTTAAGGCCAGTCAGATGTGGCATGAACCCTGGCCCAGCCCAAACGTTACAGTTTCGTGTTGGCTAAACATGTTGTGCCTTAAATTGCCACTCCTATCTCTAGTTTGTAAATGTGATTATTTGACCCTACCAACTTCAACGAATATTTCTGATGTAAAATTTTGCCTCTACAGAAGATGTGAAGGAGGCAGCAAATAGTGATGCTCCTGAGAACAATCCCCAATACACTACTGTGTATGTTGGCAATCTTGCTCCAGAAGTAATTCATCCCCCTCTCTCTACTCTTGGTTAATAGTTTTTAAAAAAAAATAAAAAACTCATGTCCAGCTCATTTTGCAGTGATTTTATTTTATTTTATTTTATTTTTTTTGGGAATCGGTTTTGTAATGTATCTGCTCCTTGTTTTTATTCTGACAGGTGACCCAGGCTGATCTGCACCGTTACTTTTATGCACTTGGTGCTGGATCGATTGAGGAGGTTCGTGTCCAGCGTGATAAGGGATTTGGTTTTGTGAGGTACAGCACACATGGAGAAGCTGCTATGGCAATATCCATGGGAAATGCTCAGCCTTTCCTCGGTAGCAGACAAATTAAGGTTCGCTTTCTGTGTTGAGAATGTATCCGTTCTACAATGATTAAGAAACTGTGTTGACAAGGGTAACCTTGGAAAATCTTACCAAATGCCTTGTATCTGTATATATAGTTGCAAAAACTATCCTTTAGGTTTGACCTAATTATGATCAAATCCAATCAGCTTCAAAAAATACAAAATGCCCTTTAAGGTGTTACAAATAATTCCTGTGTTTTGCACTTTCCTATCAGTTTCTAAAATAGAAGCAGGATACAATGGTGTATTCAATTGAAACGTAACAGAAAGAAGACCTTCCCCCAATCCATTAAAGAGTTGAAGACCCATTCATCTTTTAGAATTACAAATAAACCCCTTGAGACGTGTACTATCCTTGCACAAGTGCACTTTTCATGAGGGATCAGACAATGGTTAATCTGTAAGGTAAATTCAAACTAATCAAATTATTGTAATAGTACTCAAACGAGTAGTGGCTTCTTTTGTCATTAGACTAAACCTCAGGATGTAACCAACTTCTGCAATTAACCTGACTCATGGAGCCCATGCGGTACTTTATTTTATTTTTTTCATTATTAGTCCTGTATTTTTTCTGATTGTTATAAATTCGGGCATCCAGAATTTATAGTTTTACAATAACTGGTGTCTTTTTACAGTGCTCGTGGGGTAACAAACCAACTCCACCTGGAACAGCCTCAAACCCTCTCCAGCCACCTGCACCGCCAACCATTGGCGGCCTATCGGCCTCTGAACTCTTGGCGTACGAGCAGCAACTTGCAATGAGCAAAATGAGCCTGATGGGGCAACATCCTCTGAAGCAAGGGTCCATGGGAATGGGTGCGGGTGCAAGCCAGGCCATGTATGATGGGTCTTACCAGAATGTTGCTGCTGCCCAGCAGCTCATGTACTATCAGTAATATTTGTTTTAGGTGTTTTGATTTGAGGGTGTGAGAGTTTAAACTATTTGACTTGGTGTCTTCTATTTTCTTCTTCTTTTTTTTTTTTTTTT